GCAACTGGCCGTTCATTATAGAGAAGTTGCACTGTATAAGTTTAAAAATAATTATTTGTTTATTTATAAAAAATTAAACAAAATGTTTGAGCATTTATCTAAATAACGTTGACATAATTAATATATTAAATCTCACCTATATGTTTGATTATTTGTATCAATATAAGTGCAATATTAGTTTATTAGTACTAATTTGGTACTTAATTCCATGTATTATATACATTAAGAGGAGTTTGTTTACAAAAATGACATTAAATTTGCTATTCCCACTTTGTATTTTATTATTTAATTTGACATTGAACTTAACACTTTTGTACTAGCGATGGCCGATTAGTGCTATAACCCTATTGGATATGTTTAAAGGTCTAATTAGGTATTGTAGATTAATTACATTAAAATATATATAATTATCAAGGACAGAATACGAGTTATACATATACAGTTACCAACAACTTTACAATTGCATTATTAACACATTATGCTGCGAGTGTCTGGTTATATAAATACCAGCCCATCTAATAGTGAAGCATATTGTTTAGCTACAGTTGTATAAGTACTGTATTCATAAATATAATTCATTTCATTAACTGTGATTTATACAAGAATATTTTATAAACAAATATATACAACATGTCCAACACATCGGTTCCTACATTAGGGTATTATAAAGTCAGGGGTTTGGCTCAACCCATACGACTGTTGCTGAAGTATAAGGGCGTGAATTTCACCGACAAATACTACGGCACGAGTGATGCCAAAAATTTGGACGAGTTTAGAGCTGAATGGGTTAAAGTAAAATTCAACCTGGGCCTTGACTTTCCCAACGTACCTCATTACATCGATGGATCATTAAAAGTGACCCAAAGCACAGCCATTATGCGACACTTGGCCCGAAAGCACGGACTGGTGGCCACCGACGAGACCGGACTCGTACGCCAGGATGTGGTGGAGCAACAGTTGGCGGACATTAAGAATGGTTTTATAATGGGTTTATTGTTTGCCAAAGACTTTGAGACCGAAAAAGTCAAATTCATTGCCGAAACACTGCCCCAACAATTGGACGCATTGTCCCGGTTTTTGGGTACCCGTCAGTGGTTTACCGGTAATGAAGTTAATTACGTAGACTTCATGGCATATGAGCTCTTGGACTGGTTCCGCCTCTTCAGCCCCGAGACTGTCAATAAGTACCAGAATTTGGTTCAATTGTTGACCCGTTTTGAGAGTTTACCGGCGATTAAGGCATACATGAAATCACCGGAGTTTATAAGTTGGCCATTGTTTGGGCCAATCGCTCCGTGGGGTTACAAAAGGTAATTTTTATATTTTTGATTTAATTCATTAATAAATAAAATTAAATTTTGACAAAATGTTACACTAATCTAAATATTGTAAACTTTTTCATAAAATTTTTATTACAACAATTATATTTTGAATTTACAGTATTTTAACAAAATTATATTAAATTTTAATAAACGTAAATCATGTATTATTATTATAAAAATGATTTTGATTAATTGTACTTATTATATGTAACTTATAAATTATAAGTTATAATATAAATAACTTGATTATATAAATTTAAAACTAAAAATTGTAATAATTGAATTTCAATTTTATCAAGCTTTGTTAATTAACATAATTAATGTCAAATTAAAACACCGATTAATATTTAATTTTGTTTAACTTACAATAGAATTTAAGTGTATATTTAGTACACATTCTTATTGAATTTATTTACCAGTTTGAAATATCATAATGATAATAAAATGTAGTGAAATATCTGTCTATTTATTAATTAAACAATAAGTGTTTCAATTATTGCAGGTAAAATATAAGTATAAATTAAATGCACATTTTTTATATAGTTACTTTATGGAGTTACATAATTGATTTATATTAATTAGTGTACAAACGTTCATTACAATGAAAAGTACTTAGCAACTGCTGTAAACTTTATATAATTACGCTTAATGTTTATTTAATCAATTAATAAGTATGTGTGTAATAATTAACATTTGATTTTAATATTTATTAAATCAAGTAAGTATTAACTTAAATCACAATTTAAAATTTACTTTTTGAAACCCCACGGAGCGGTCGGTCCAAAGAGTGGCCAACTTATAAACTCCGGTGATTTCATGTATGCCTTAATCGTCGGTAAACTCTCAAAACGGGTCAACAATTGAACCAAATTGTGGTACTTATTGACAGTTTCGGGGCTGAAGAGACGCATCCAATCGAGCAGTTCGTACGCTTGAAAGTCTACATAAGTAATGCTATTACCGGTAAACCACTGACGGGTACCCAAAAACTGGGACAACGCGTCCAACTGTTTGGGTAGTGTTTCGGCGATATATTTGATTTTTGCAGTTTCAAAGCTCGGGGTAAATACGCTCATAAAAAATTCCATTTGAATGTCCATCATCTGCTCCTCCAGAATATCCTGGCGCTCGAGTCCGGTCTCGTCGGTGGCCACCAGTCCGTGCTTTCGGGCCAAGTGTCGCATAATGGCTTTGGTGTGGGTCAGTTTTTTAGAGCCATCAATGTAATATGGTAGGTTGGGAAAATCAAAGCCCATGGTGAATTTTTCCTTAAGCCAATCCACTTTAAACGCCTCCATATCTTCAGCGCCCGGTCTGTCGTAGTATTTCTCGTTGTATTTGACGCCCGCATACGCCAGCATCAGTCGTATGGGTTGAGCTCTACCCCTGGTCTTGAAATAGGCTAATGTGGGAACCGATGTGTTGGACATTTTGTATGTATTTTGTATTAATTAAATACTTAAATTATGTCGATAATTATTGTTATTTTAAATCTAATTTTCAATTATAACAATTAAACAAATATTTTAAAGTATACTTTAACTTGTTGAGTATAACTAAACCAATTTAATCATACTAAACAAATATTACACTTAAAACTTGCTGTTGGTAACTGTAAATTAAATGCCCATGAAGATAACATATAATTTTCCCTGACTAAACTGATTTTAGGCCTCTTCAATGGATTTACATTAAACATATTATTTAACCGTTAGAATAACGTTATATTTATACTGATGCAATATTTTAGCTTAATTCATTTAATTTATAGTTGATCTCTATTGTACACAATTTGATTAATTCTATATTAATATTAAAGTGATTACTTGAATTAATATTAAGAACATTTATATAAAATAATGAAAGTATTTTAATATCGCTTATGTACATGATTTCTATCAAAAATTGACAATTGATTAAATGATCGTAATTATTACAGTACTAACTTATTAACATTACTAAAAATAATAATTATAAATTTTTAATAAAATACACAATGTAAAATCTAAAATATTAAATAAATTTAACAAATTAAAATAATATTCAATTTTGTTTAAAAAATAATACAATGAAATAATATTATAGCTTATTAATAAATATAAAATCCAAAATTCATCTTTGATTGTAATTTTTATATTGAATCAAATTTTTATAATTTATTAAGAATGTTGATATAACCTTAAAAAGTTCACATTTTAAGTCCACATTTTTAGTACACATTTAGTGCACTACTTCAGTTTTAGTGCACATGCCTGTATTTAAATTACAAGTCAACATAATGAGTTATATAAATTGTATGTTACTTTTATATTTATAAAGCAAGTAACATAAACTTATTTAATTATTCGTATCAAGAAATATAAAGGTAATTCTATTTCTTAATTCTTAACATTATTGTAAAATATAAGTTACATATCAACGTATAAGGACAATTAAGGACAATCAGGTACTGAAAATTAGTTATATGTTGTCAAAGCAACTGTATAAATAAATATTGTTTATACTACCTCTATATAAATAGCCTGTCTATATAAATACGAGTGCACCTAACAGTGAAATATAATTTAATAATAAGTGAAATTAATTATTTTATCACTCAATTTGTGATTTATACAAGTTATATTTTAATAACAAATTTATAAAACATGGCCAACATATCGGTTCCTACCTTAGGTTATTATAAAGTGCGGGGTATGACTCAACCCATACGCTTTTTGTTGAAGTATGCGGGCGTAGAATTCACCGACAAATACTACGGCACGGGTGACGCCAAAAGTCTGGATGAATTTAGAGCTGAATGGTATAAAGTGAAATTCACCCTGGGCCTCGACTTTCCCAACGTTCCCTACTATATGGATGGTGCTGTGAAACTGACCCAAAGCAATGCCATTATGCGACACTTGGCCGGAAAGCACGGACTGGTGGCCACCGACGAGACCGGACTCGTACGCCAGGATGTGGTGGAGCAACAGTTGGTGGACATTATGTGGGGCTTTGCGTTCAACTTTTCACCCGCGTTCAATTATTCATTTGGTGCGGACTATGAGACTGAAAAAGTTAAATATTTGGCCGAAACACTGCCCCAACAGTTGGACGCGTTGTCCCGGTTTTTGGGTACCCGTCAGTGGTTTACCGGTAATCACATTAATTATGTAGACTTCTTGGCGTACGAACGTATGGATTGGTTGCGACTGTTTAGCCCTGGTACTTTTAATAAATACAAGATGTTGGTTGAATTTATGGACCGTTTTGAAAGTTTGCCGGCGATTAAGGCATACATGAAATCACCGGAGTTTATAAGTTGGCCACTGTTTGGACCGGGCGCTCCTTGGGGTTACACAAAGTCAAATTTATAATTATGATTTAAGTTCTATAATAAAAATTTCGAATGTAACAAAATTTTTATTTTGCAAATTATTCAACACTATAAATAATGTATTATTAATAATAATTTGTTGGGTTTTATACCGTTTTCATTGTTATATTTATATAACTTATACTTTTCTTAATTACAATTACATTTATTTTATTTTATTTAAAAAATATGTCGGTGATATTAATCCTGATCTTTTAAGCATTGCAGTATTTGTAATGTTTTAATTTTTTTAAATAATTTTTTTGGTTTCATTTTTATAATTTTTTAATTTTTTTGGATTTTTGGAATGCAATTGAAATATAAACATGAACACTTTGAGAAATTAAATAACCATTTATTTGACTGATATGTGAATGATAATAGGATTAAATAACAATAATAGTAAGTAAAGTATGAAATTATAACTAATGTAGTAACAAATCACCGACATATTAATAATTATACAAAAACATCTCGATTATTTAAACAATAATTTTTTTAAACTTTAAATTACAGTTCATAACAATCACTCAATTAGTATTTGTTTTGTTTATAATTTTTAATATTATTAAATAAATTAATGGTTTATTTAAACTTTAACATAGCACATTTATTTAATTCATTCTATTGCCTATTTAAACAGGATTTTTGGCAACACATCCAGAATAACAAAAAAAATGTGTTGATAAACACATAATAGACCATGATTATTTAATTAATATTTAATGTAAATAAAATCTATAATTATTACTTTACAATAGGAACTGTATATTATAACTATGTAAATATTAGTTATATTTAATTGATTAAATTAATTATAAAATTGGGCGACACTTTAAATCCAATATTCTTTAGTATTAGTTTTAATTTAATTTTAGTAAAAATAATTTTTGTTTGTTTTATATAACTTAAATTATGTTGACAATTATTGATATTTTAAACTAAGTTAAATGTGATTTTCAATTATAACAATTAAACAATAATTATTTTAAAATATAGTTAACTTAACCAATTTAATAATATTGCGATAATTTACAATGTTAAAATAAAATGTCTGTAATAAAAGCTCTTATATAATATACTTTATTTATATAAATGTTTTTAAACAAGCACATCTGATGTAATTCAAAAATATGTCTATGATATATTATTACAAATTACATTCCCATATTTACAATTTGAAACAATTATTTTTTTGTGTTTTTTTAATTTTTAAATATTTTTTTGTATTTTATATTTTATATATTTTTTTGGATTTTTGAAATGCAATGAATAGATAATTAGAAATTAATTGATTGTTGACTTAAATATTTTGTATGAATATAATATATTGATAGTTTAAGTAATTAAATAGAATTATTTATTGTATTTGAAACATTATAACAGTTATTGAATTTATCATAGACATATTAATTATAATATAAAATATCCTGCTCATTTAAGCCTAAATATTTTGACATATAAAATTACAGTTTATCAGAATAAATTATTAACATTAGTTTTGTTGACTCACAACTCATATCAATAAACAATATTAATATACAGTCGTCTAAATTATTTATTAAATATAATATTTAAATTAAATACAATAATTAATGTATTTATAAATTGCTTTTTACAATCAAATTAACCAAACGGTGCAAACAGTGGCTAACTTATAAACTCCGGTAATTTCATGTATGCCTTAATCGCCGGTAAACTCTCAAAACGGGTTAAGAATTGAACCAAATTCTGGTACTTATCGGTGATTTTGAAAGAGAGAGAGAGAGAGAGAGAGAGAGAGGTTCATTTTATTATTGGTGACAATAATTTAAATCGTTATCAATTAACATGATTTTAATATTACATACTTTACATCACATATTTATTATAAAGATTTAAACTGCAAATTTTAAACAATGAATAATTAAGTGCAAATTTAAAAATAATAATTAATTTACTTACTCAAAAAATTAAAATACTGGGTATCTGTGAACTAGTTTTGAGCCTATGTACCCTGACTTACCAGTGTATTTATTAAAATATAATTCAGCTAATGCATGTATTTCATAAAATAATTAACAAGGTTATTGGAAATATGTAACAATTCTGCTAAAAACATAACATTTAATGAAGTTTTAAAGCAAATTTATGAACCAACAGGAAATATCTGGCATAAAGCAAAATCATCTATATTGTATAATCAAAAATGAATTAATATTAACTTAGTTTTAGCAATTTTAAAAATACACCAATTAGAACTTACTTTTCCAAACAAGGGCACCGTCACAATAACCAAGGTGCCGATACCAACACCCAATTTCCTATTACTACTAAGTCTCTCAAAATAGGCTAAAAGTTTTAATTTAAATCCCAAACCATATGTACGGCCACTGAAACGCCATTGAAGTCTGTCACAATAACCAAGGTGCCGATACCAACACCCAATTTCCTATTACTACTAAGTCTCTCAAAATAGGCTAAAAGTTTTAATTTAAATCCCAAACCATATGTACGGCCACTGAAACGCCATTGAAGTCGTGACAATAGTTTACACATTTTGTGCATTTTGAGTGAAAACAATGCAAACATGTATTGAACGCCAATTAACACGTTGTAAACACCGATTACAGCCATTGTATACATGAATATCAATAACAACACAATGTGTTCATAAAATATATGATGTAATAGTATTAAACTGAATGGAAATGTAGTGAATATTAATGTCAGGTATATATCGCGCCAATACTTGTTTATGCTATACTGTGTTTGACATAGATTGTTATGTTCTAATATATAATTGTTGATTATATTTTTAGCACGATGGTCCATTTTTATTTTACCGGACATGATAAAATTAACATTATTATTGATATAGTTAATTCTTAATAATTGATAATATGCTATCACTAATAATATTGCCCCGTATATCGTGCAATCACTGATGGTAATTATATACATCATAATCTCTTGAGCGTGTATTAACAAAGTTACATAAGTGATTATGTTAGGTGGATTAACTGAAATAAACCGTACACTGTTATATGTTATCAATACTATCCAGAATAAACCTAAAATTAAAATAAATAACGTTTTACTAAAAAATATTATCTTGGTACAGTTTATTTTACATACCTGTTACTAATTCACATAAACTTGTAAATTTGTATAAACGGTTTGTAAATACAATTAATTTATTGATGATATGTTTATCAACTGACCGACGGATTGGTCGAAATCGAGTTCGCATTAAACCAAACACCTGAGTCCAGTCGTCCATACCCTGAGTTCTCGGGTATAACCGGAGTCTAATGTTAAGCACTAGACCTAATATTAGGCACAACACTGTACTAATATTAATATAAAGAGGTATTCCACCAACAATCAACGAAGTATCTAGAAATAATACTTTTATTTCATGAGTAACCTCGGTTAAAATTGCCACAGTATTGTAAATAATTAGAATCAGATGAGTTATCATTAATATAAAACTGAAAAGTTTAATTAGAGTATTTTGAGTGTAAGTTAAACTTTCACGTTTAATGACTTTGATGTAAAAATCAACAAATATATTTTTATCTACTATTTTGGTAGGTATATAATTTTTGTTAATAATTAACGTGTTTACTTTATTTTTAAACATTATCAAACTTTATTAAATTAATTATATTTATATTTTTAAAATTATTATTTATTATTAAATAATTAATTAATTATAATTTGTTACTAAATACTGTATATGACTAATATTTAGCATATTTAAAAGAAAAATAGTTATAAATACATAGAATTTTAAATGATTTTTACATTAACAAGATTCATTGATTTTCTTATTTTATATATTAATCAATATTTTGACACAGTTTCACACCCATTATTATTAAAACTATTATATGATTACAAATTTCCCGATAATTACATAAATTTAATTAAAAGTTTTTTATCTGAAAGAAAACAAATCATAAAATATAATGATATTTACTCAAAACCATTTGATGTTTTGTCTGGAATAATACAAGGTGGTAAACTATCATCACTATTTTTTATATTATATATTAGCAAATTAAATGAAGTAATTAAATATTCAATATCAAGACAATATTGTGATGACAATGTTGTGTATAAATTGATTTATGGTAATACCGATACTGAGTTGCTTCAAACTGATCTCAATAGCATATATGAATGGAGTAATGAATATAATCTACATTATTTAAATCAATCAACAATTATGTAAGTGTTTTGCAAAACTGGAACCAAATGTTTGTATTAATAGACACCAGAAGTGGACCAATGCTTAAACAAATACATACAAGATTACATGTTTGTGATAAAAACTTCTTTATATATGGTATTAATCTATTTAATTCATTACCAATATTTATAAGATCTATGTGTTTAAGTAATAATTTTCTTAATAACTGTGAAAAATATTTATTAAATAATTTTGTAAAAGATTGTGATTACTAACAAATTATTGTACCTTTAATCAACGAGTATGATTAATAAATTATTATTATTATTATTATTATTATATTGTAATCATAGAGACCCATAGCTAAGCGTATATCGCGTGATATATTACATGAATGTAAGTTTGAAAATATTTTTGCATGTTTAAATAAAATAATTCCATTAATACTACAGTGCTAGTTGAGTGCAATATAAGACTGACTATGGGTTTCTATAATTACAATATTGATTAATAAATCTTAATGTTGTGTTTAATTTTAACAATAATAATTTTAATAAATATTACTAGATGATTGCATATCTCACTTTTATAAATTATAATAAAATGAAATAATGCACTTTAAGATAATATCTATGAACAAGTTTATTGCTGTATAATACATATAGACAATAAAAAAGTGCGTTTTGGTGCTTTCTTCACAGAAAAAAACAATTTTCTTGTTAAGTTAAGTTAAGTTTTTCTGTGAAGAAAGCACCAAAACGCACTTTTTTTATTGTCTATATGTATTATACAGCAATAAATACAGTTATTTAACCAAGGTCAAATCACTATGATAATAAGAACAAAATGATTACAAACCTGCATTTTAGAAATATAAATTGATCAAGGTTAGATAATGTAAGTGTACATCACACATATAAAGTCTATCTTAGTTACCAACAGACATTACTGACATTATAGCAAATACCCTTATACTGTAAAAACACGACTAATAATAAGTGAAAAGTGTGTTTTGATTTCATTGTTTTGTTAACAATAACTGTGTTTAAAATTTGTTGTAATAATTTTACAAATTATATCAAAACATATACAACATGTCCGACACAACTGTCCCCACATTAGGCTACTATAAAATCCGTGCGTTGGCTCAACCCATACGACTGTTGCTAAAGTATAAGGGCGTGAAGTTTACAGACAAATACCACGACAATCCCGGAGCCGTAACACAGCAGACATTTAAGTGGGATTGGTATAATAAAGACAAATTCACCTTGGGCCTAGACTTTCCCAACGTACCATATTACATCGATGGTACGGTCAAAATAACCCAGAGTCATGCCATTATGCGACACTTGGCCCGAAAGCACGGACTGGTGGCCACCGACGAGACCGGACTCGTACGCCAGGATGTGTTGGAGCAACAGTTGACGGACATTAGATACGGGTTTGGCGTTGGCTTATTGTATAATAAAGACTATGAGACCGAAAAAGTCAAATATTTGGCCGAAACACTGCCCCAACAGTTGGACAGTTTGTCCCGGTTTTTAGGTACCCGTCAGTGGTTTACCGGTAATGAAGTTAATTATGTAGACTTCTTGGCGTATGAGCTCTTGGATTGGTTCCGACTTTTCAGCCCCGAAACCGTCAATAAGTACCAGAATTTGGTTCAATTGTTGACCCGTTTTGAGAGTTTACCGGCGATTAAGGCATACATGAAATCACCGGAGTTTATAAGTTGGCCACTTTTCTCACCCATTGATTCGTGGGGTTTCAAAAAGCATTGAGCATTTAAATATATTTTTAGATATTATTAGATATTTGTATAACTGAATAATTATAAAATGATTTATTAATTTGTATTAAATATATTTTAAATTAAAACACTTAATAAAATGTTAAATTTATTTAAAAAATTTGTAAATTGCAATATAATCTCAAACAATATTTATTATGTTTTTAATAAAAATGTTTATTTGCATAATATAATAAAAGTTTATATACCTGCAATAATTTCAATAAATTAATGGCAATAAAGTACTATTAAATTTTAACTAAAAAAGTCAAATAATACTACCTAACAAATAATGTAAATACTGTCAAATAAAGCAGATAGAATGTTTAATATTTTCATTTCCAAATAACATAATTGTTATATTTATTTTAATATTTGTTAAAACATAATTGTCCAGGGTTTAGCGTTATGGAAAGTAGGATATTGTATAAAACTACTATAGCCAATATAGTTATGGAAAATGGTTAATTAATTAGTTGTTCAGTACAGTTGACATCAATGCAACAATAATTGTGAAAAAGTGGCAAATATTACCACATAATACCACATAAAACATTTATGTATTAATATAAATATAAATTAGTAATTTAATTTACTAATTTAAAATTACAAGTATGAATAATATACATGTATAGTATGATTATACAATATTTTGAGTGTAAATTCAGGGCTTTTGTAATCTCGTTTATTATACATTTAATCATTGCTAAATAAGATAACGCATAACAAACATATAGCATAACGTTATTTAGTCGCACAAATTATTTTGTATAAATAGCTGACGAGACTAATAAAGTGTTTATTTTATAATTGCTAATTATAACTGTGGATAAGTTTACCTAACTATACATATTATATACAAACATTTATAACATGTCATCAGTTCCCACATTAGGCTACTATAAGATCCGAGCGATCGCTCAACCGATACGCCTATTGTTGGCGTATAAGGGCGTGAAGTTCACCGACAAATACGAGAACAAACCCGGAGCTGTCGAGTACAACGATTTTAAATCAACTTGGTTTGGAAAAGTGAAATTCACCCTGGGCCTCGACTTTCCCAACCTGCCATACTACATCGATGGCGATGTCAAACTGACCCAGAGTAACGCCATTACTCGACACTTGGCCCGAAAGCACGGACTGGTGGCCACCGACGAGACCGGACTCAACAGACAGGATGTGTTGGAGCAACAGTTGACGGACATCAGGAACGGGTTTTTTGGCCATCTTGGCTTTTTTGGCAAAGTCAATGATGCTGATAGAGTTAAATATTTGGCCGAAACTCTGCCCCAACTGTTGGACGCGTTGTCCCGCTTTTTAGGTACCCGTCAGTGGTTTACCGGTAATGATATTAATTTTGTCGACTTTATGGCGTATGAGTACTTGGATTGGTTCCGCCTCTACAGCCCCAGTACTGTCAATAAGTACCAGAATTTAGTTCAATTGTTGACCCGTTTTGAGAGTTTGCCCACAATTAAGGCATACATGAAATCACCGGAGTTTATAAGTTGGCCAATAGTCTCGCCAACCGATACGTGGGGTTTCACTAAATAAATGTATATTTATGCTTTGATTTTTGTAATGATAAGCAAATAAATATATAAGTTTTATTTGAAATTTATATATGAGTTATGTATTTAATTTATAATAATTTCTAATAATAAAACAAAATATTAAACACTACTATAATTAATTTAATAACTTTATGTATCAATTGACACAACTTATTTTACTTTGAACAATACAAATTTAACGATACTTTATATATTTGTGCAGTGTATTTATTAAACAATATAATTTAGGGTCATTTTAGCTAGATTATTTATTAAATTACACCTTAATAGCTGTTACAAACTGTCACTTTACTGTTAAAAATTTAATAACTTAATAAACAAGTGCACAAATTGGACTAAATGAAAGTTAAAATGTAACATTATTTAAAAATACACTATATAAAATCATATATTATAAAACAAGTTAGTTTAAAATCTGACGAGTGAGTACTGTATAATATTTAATTTACCAACATCAATTAAATCTAAAATAGAAAAATTAAACTAAATTACTCTACTAATGATAATAAATTAGTCAAGTTGAATTAATAGAGATCAACCCTAAAGGACGAAGATTAATGTTAATGGGTATTTGGCCAAAAAGTTTATATTAAAAAATTTTATTTCTTTTTAATTTGCGAAATTAATTATCATTGTAAGCATAATTGAAATTGATATAAATCATGTTCAGTAATTACGTTATTCATTATAAAAAACGTACATAACTGATACTAAATTTCTTAATTTTGATATAACTTTTTTCTCTTATGTCAGATTTGAGAAAATCCTTCGGATTCCGATTCTACTCATTCATACCTTTCTATTGATATATCATATGATATGGTTATTTATAAAATAAAAGATTTGATTTTGAAAATGTTACCGATTAAAGTGGTCACTACCGCCAGACCCGAAAGTATCTGGACATATGAAGTATATCACTCGACTACCTATTGAGTGTACTTTGATTTAATAACAATAATTCCAAATTGCCCGCTATCCCACAAATGGGCATCATCTTTTAGTGCATTAAGTTAATGCTTTATTGCATTTGTGTAAAAATAACGTCAGATACAGTATCAACTGTACATGTATATGTTAGATAATATGTTTAAATGTTTATACGTTAAATAAACTGTTAACATTAGTGTATTCAAGAGGCCTAAGGTCGGTTTAGTGCAGGAAAATTATTTTCTAGCTTCAAGGACATTATATTATATTTCAAACTTACAGTTATCATCTGTATTAGTATAATATTTGTCTGGTGTGTTCATAGTTGGTATAAATAGGAGTGGCTTTTGTGATATGAAACCATAACTAGAAAATAAGTTAAACGTATTTATTTCATTGTTTCGCTCACTATAACTGTGTTCACATCAAAAGTTACTTAATTTGATATATTATTTGATATATTTAATACCAAAACTCATACAACATGTCCAACCCCAGGCACACATCGGTGAGAGCAGTGGCCAACTTATAAACTCCGGTGATTTCATGTATGCCTTAATCGCCGGTAAACTCTCAAAACGGGTTAAGAATTGAACCAAATTCTGGTACTTATTGACGGTTTCGGGGCTTAGGATTCGGAACCAATCGAGCGTTTCGTAAACACCAAAGTCTACATAAGTAATGCTATTACCGGTAAACCACTGACGGGTACCCAAAAACTGGGACAACGCGTCCAACTGTTTGGGTAGTGTTTCGGCGATGTATTTGACTTTTGCAGTTTCAAAGCTCGGGGTAAACAATACACCCATAAAGAATTCAGTCATAATGTCCGACATCTGTTCCTCCACCATATCCTGGCGCTCGAGTCCGGTCTCGTCGGTGGCCACGAGTCCGTGCTTTCGGGCCAAGTGTCGCATAATGGCCTTAGTGTGGGTCAGTTTCTTATTACCATCGATGTAATATGGTAGATTGGGAAAGTCAAAGCCCATGGTGAATTTCTCCTTAAACCAATCCACTTTAAACGCTTCCATGTCTTCCAAACGAAGTGTACT